AATTCTGTATATATTCGACTATTTCCATAATACAGCTGTTTCTAAATGAATCGTGTTTACATCTATTATATTTACTTTCACATTTGAGAGAATAGCACATGTTTTTAAAATTAATGTCTTTATTAATACATGGTTTCGATGAATTTATTATAAATAATTGACACGATTTGTTTTGCTAGCAAATAATTTTTTTTCGCAAACTCGACTTTACTCGAACAATGTGTAAATCTACAAATTACTGTATGAAAATATCTTTCTAAACGTTTGTTATTTCATTTCTAATATGAATTTGTATGGATAATCATCCCACAAGTAGTTTCAAGAGCGACGCAAAAATGGAATATTTAATGAATATATAGGAAAAAGAGTCGAATGAAATTTTCTACCACAGCAAAGTATGAGATAGGAGACACAGCTCGCTTACCATTTCGACATACGAATGATATCATCGCTCGCAGGAACGGATTCAGTTATTCTAACAACGCGCGCGCATTCACTTATCGCAAGTGATTTAGCTGCAAGCCAAATTTTTAAATATCCAGATACGGTATCTAGCTATAGATTCGATCTTGTATCGTGTCAATTCTAAACACTTTTAAACACTACAATTAGTATCTCTACATAGACATTTCTAACACACAATTACAATAATAACTTGAGCTACAACTATAAAATATGTCAATTTACAATAAGATTTATATTTTGGTCCAGATCAGAATTTTTCTTATTTTTATTTAGTAATAATAAAATCTTAAATCCGACATTTTACGCAAGCATGTGATATATACTCCTGGACAAAATTAACGCATAATTTTTTTTCACTTTTTCTTTAAAATTTTTCGTTAAAATTTAAATATCAGCTTTTAAATATATTTTCTATATACTCTATGTACAAAGCAATTAAAATTGCAAAATTATACAAAATATAATACATAATTTCTCTGAATAATTAGTTATAAAATGAAAGATTAGCGTCTGCTATGAATGTCGCAGAGAATTTTTTTAATCGATTCGGATTATACTTCGCTCTTGCTTCTATGTTGACAATAATTTATTTCCGAGAAACATTGACGTTACTCCATTTCAAATATGTAGAAGGTTCGAAAGAGAGAAATTCTTTCCTTCTCATTTTATTTTCTTTCTTCTTCTCCTCTTACAGCTTCGGCACGCTCGCGCGTAACCAAAACCCAGCTGTCTTTCATGGCTGGCGCGCGTACTGTAACTCGTTCTCCACCCACCGGAGAGGGATCGAAGTAAGGCAACGGTCCTGGAACCTGTTTCGAACCGTTTGAGAGTCTCTGTCCTGCCTCGTCCTCATCGTCCATCCCTCATATCCTATCCTTCGCCCACCTACTCCTTCGCCTTTTGCGCCTCTTTGTCGCTCTTTCGTGTCCCTTTTCTCTTTTCTTCGTAACATTCTCATCATCTCACTTTCTCTCTTCCCCTCTCCCTTTTTTCTCTCTTATTTTCTCCATCTTTCCCTCTTTTTCTCTCTCTCCCGTTGGTGTTGGCTTCACGTATTCCGGCGCGTAATATCACGCACATCATCGTCACGAAGATGTGTACGCGTGTCTCTCCATCGTTGCTCCGTACGAAGCGAGCCGGAGGAACGTGAACCAAGATGGGTCGGCGGATGAATGAGAAAGAGAAAACGGATGGGGAGGAAAACGCCAGGGAGGAAGACGGCAGGAGGGAAGAGGAGAGAGAAAAGAAAAAGTAGGAGGAGAGAGCGGTCAACGCTGAGAAGGCAAGGCGGATGGGGTATGGCACACGCCACACGCCATCATAATGGAATAATGAGGCAGGGACGATAGCAATCGCGCAGAGGCTCTTTTTCCGCGCAAGACGACCGTGTATTGAAGCGCCCGTGAGAGCTGTACGAGCATAGAAACGTCGTGGATGAATTGAGCAAATCAGAGCCACATCCGATGAGGTCAGATCGACTCGGTCATGCCTCCAAGACTGCGTGTTCTCGGGGCTATCGTAAATAAGTGGAGGATATTACAAGATGTAAGAAATCTTATCTCGTACGTTGGCAATTAGCAGCGAAATACGCAAACATCATACACGATGTATCTTTATTAGCGCGCACACGTTGCGGAGTACATCCTTTTACCGTTACATTTATAATATATGCAAATATTAAATAATATCTACCGCACGTATAAGACACGAGTACTCTTCTAATACGTGTCCAGGAAAGCAACGTAATTTTACAGATATCTCAATGCCCTCGATACCCTAATTGATTAATGACATGTAGCAAAAACAAGTGTAGCTCAATCGTGACATCCATGTGAAACGATATCGACGAAAATTTGGTTCGTGCCGTAATGAAAAAAGAACAAGGGCAACGGTAGGAGATTACAGCGGGAGAAGAAGCTGTGGCACGTGACCCCGAAGAACACCAGAGTCAACTCGCTTAAGTAGCCGAGTTCTGCTCTTTGACCCAGCCGACAATTTCAAATTATGTCTCTCAGAGGGAGAGCGAGAGAGAGAGGAAAAGAAGGAGAGAGCGGATATACTATAGTCAGAAACATCCTCCCCTCTTCGCAATGAAGGTAACGTTCATTCGCAACTTCTCATATCTAAGGCGACCGGAATGCTAATCTGGTGTCGCTCGTGGCTTCGCCGTAATTAGTCAGGATGAGATGGTTCGAGAGTCAGACGCGCGTTTTATCTGTAATCTGTCGAATAGAATAGAGCTAGGGTGCACTGAAAAAGCCAAGTAAAACTCGAACAAACGATTTCATTAGCCAAGTGTAGGAAACGAGAAGCGAATTTGCAAATTGATGCGCAATTCGATCAAATGATTTTCTCTCTCTTAAGTTTTTTCAATTTCTTTTTTTGGCCATAATGCAAATTGCTTACTATTTCATGCACAAACGAGCGAGTTTGATTGCAGCAAAGTTTTTCTACATCGCGTTGCTCACGACACGCGCACAAGCATTATTCTTTCGAGTAAAAATGCAATTTCAATTTATCGTTGCTCTACCATCTCGCGTTATAAACAATTTTTTGTTGGACTAGAAATTAATTTAACGCTCTTTTAGGTATAAATTGCCGACGATGTTTCCGCGGTATAATAATTTCGCGAGAATGACTCGTGGCCAACTGCTCGGAGAGTCGCTGGAGTCTACAACATGCGTAGTTGTAGTTTGCTGAGGAAGACAAATGATCCACTCCGACGCGAGACAGTTAGCGTACGGCGAGAGGCGTTGGCCACGAAGAAGCGCCTCTTGGTTCGCCCCGGGGCACACCGAGCCGACTCATTCGCTTGATCTCCATTGCCATTATGATATTAATGAAATGCCGCTAAAAAGGTGTGTTTGCTCGGTAACACGAGGCTGCAGGGTGGGAGGAGGCGAGATAGATGTTAAACCTACGTAAAATAGTCTTACCCGATATGGCGCGCACACGCCTGTGATTATGCCACCGCCGTCGAGATTTTGTTGTCGTAGCTGTTTCCGTCGTTGTCGTCACCGTCGTCACCGTGTTGTCGTCGTTGTCGCCGTCAACATCGTCACGATACATCTCTGACAGGGGCATTTTTAATCAATTGTTTCTAATTTTTCCTCCTCCCATCTTTCTTTTTTTTACATAAACGGCAATCAACAAGAAGGAAGCGTTGCTTCTTTCCCTGCTCTTATGCCAATTTTAATTTATTTATTTGAGCCAAATTTCTAATTATTTATTTTTATTTTTTTAATTCAAAGTTGCGAATAAAAGTTTGCATTTTTACTAGTATAATTAATGAAGCGCACACTTCATTTTTGCTCATTTCATTAAAAATATTAGTATTTTGACGATACATCTCTCACAGTAGCATTTTTAATAAATTGTTTCTAATTTTCCCTTCTCTTTATTTTTTTTAAATAAACAATAATTAATAAGAAGGAAAAGTTGTTTCTTTCTCTGTGCCTGTGGCTCTTATGCCAATTTTAATTTATTTATTTGAGCCAAATTTCTAATTATTTATTTTTACTTTTTTAATTCAAAGTTGTGAATAAAAGTTTGCATTTTTACTCGTATAATTAATGAAGATAGCGTAGCGCACATTTAAAATTTGATTAAAAATACTAATATAAACTATATCCAACCCCAGAGTTATCGTCCTTTCTCAAAGGACGAAATCGGTTCAAGCTGCGAGGCTAACGACCTCTGAACCCTTTGTCGAATGGATGCGCGTTTGCGTCTATGTGTTTTGCGGGCTACCTTGGTCCATTCAGGTTTTCTCGCAGCTTCTGTGCCTTTTTGTCCGTTGCTAAAATTGTTTGCGACATAAAATTTTTTCGGCGCTATTTCGGCAATAATTTTTCGCATTGTGTCACCGATCGATTTGTCGCGTCTTCCGGCACGCACGTGCAAAAGTAAGAAAGGAGAGAGATAAAGGAGATAAACTCGGACCACAGAAACCAGAGGAGTGGAATTCGCGAGGATAAAGAGGGAGAGAGAAAGAAGGAGAGAGATGAGAGAAAAGAGGACACGCTTGAAAAGAGAGATGGGAGAAAGAGGTCATCCTTCTCTCTCTTTCTTTCGTACGGGGGTGCGCCCACGCTGGTGACGTCACCCGGCGAACGTCGGTTGTGGTACCGGCGATGAACGCGTTGGTGTTCAAACGTTCGGGGCACCGAGAAAGAGGAAAGATTGACGAGACAGAGACGCTATCGCGTCTCGAGGAAGGGAACGTGGAGCCGGTCGTCGGTGGTACCAAGGGGAGGGATAGCCGGATGGAGAGAGGACACCGGCGAGATGTACCGGGTTCGGATGGGGAAGCTAAGGTACACGCGAGCGCGCGCGAAAGACGAAGAGAAAGAGAGAAGAAGCGCTTTCCGCGCGGAGGGTGGCGGGGGAAAGGAATGAATGGAGATTGCAGACCACGCGGGAGAGACGAATGGTCCGGAACCCGCGGAGGAAACGGGGACGAGACAAGGGCGAGGAGAATTCTCCGAGAGAGGAAGCTAAAAGGAGGAGGGGTGGAAGGGGAGAGGAAGGGAGGAGGGTAGTGTTTCGCGTAGACAATCACCGTCAACGGTAGCGGGAGTAACCACGGGGTAATGTCGACGACACACGTGACACCGCTGAATCTCCGTCATCGCCGGCGATCGCACGAATCGAACGCGAACGGCGCGCGAGACGACATCGGCCGCCTCGCGATCGCGTTCTCCTCGCTTCTTCCCATGAGTGTTGCACGCGCGAACGTGCGAGCGCGCTCTCCAGGCTCGCACCCGACAGCTTCGCGCGCGAGCCACGCTTTATTAGTCTAGCGCGGGCCATCGTGAACCCCTTTAGTTGCCTCGCTACGCTTCGCCTTGTCTCGCCTCGGCTGGCCTGGCCTCGTCTCTCCTCGTCTCGCCGCGTCTCGCCTCGCCACGCTTCTTCGCCATTGGCCATCGGCCATCGGATCAACGAGACCGACGAGGGACCGTAGATGTGAGTGAGAGCTAAGCGTGATAATAGAAACCGACGTGCGAGGAGAAACAGCCGAGATAAGGTTCGCGAAAGAGGAGAAACGGTCCAGGGAGCGCGAGGAAGAGAATCAAAGGAGGGGCCAACGTGTCAAAGAGAGCGGAAGGTCGATGCGCCGGAGGAACGCGAGAGATCCTCCTTCGTATCCTTTGGTGATACGGTACAACCGGCACTCGTACCGGTACGTTTGCGACCGACGACATCCGGAGAACGTTCTTTTCCCCGATCAAAGTGCTTCCACCTCGACGAGAGCGATACGTAGATTTAACGCCGTGAGTTTGAAAATTCTGCTCCGAGATACGCCGATTTCTGGAACTCGTCGACACGGATTACCATCGAGGAGGCCCCGATTCGACGGCGAATCTATTTATTCTCTCAACACTAGCGGTCGTCAAAGATCGTGGAAGGAAATCTGCGTACGCTGGATGAAAATACCTGTCGCGATCGTCGATTTGACCGTCGTCCATTCATCCCCCAACTTTCACCGCCCTGCACCGAACCGATCGTTGAAAGACGGGAATAAGCAGAGGATCGGGACGGTCTCGGATGGACGATCCTAGGAGGGTGTCTTAGCGACGCCGTGACATGTACGAACGTTTCCCAAGTCTCTCCTCGTCGTCGGCAAAGGCACCCGGGTCGACGAAAACGGCGCGCAGAAAACGGTGCGAGGAACGATCGAGGCAGCTCACGTGGGTCGACACCCGGTCGACGACAACCGGCGGCAGCGGGACAGGTTGAAAAGATGCTGGCACTCGCGATGCGCCGCGAACACACGACCGGGCGCAGCAATTACGAGCCCGCGAATCCGCTCGCGGGATTCGAACACCTGCAGCACAACAGTGGTGGCAATTCGTTCGCGGTGGTGCCCACCACCGAGGGGCGAGTGCGCGACGCCGCTCGGCCCGAGGCCGAGGGTGAGTTGCAAGAGTTTGTGGACATTGCGCAAGTGCAACAGCTACTGCAACAGCAACAGCAGCACCAACAGCACCATCACCATCAGCATCACCAGCACCAAACGTCCGCGACGGCCGCGTCCTGCATCTGGGGAGCGGTTTATCCCCCGCCCCCGCCCGCCCTGGGATATCACCACCATCATCACCATCATCATCATCATGCGCCGCCACCGCCGCCGTCAGGTAATGCCGTCGAGCGAGCAGCGATTTCACGCGTGACATCGCGAAATCGAATGGAAGGTCCGTCCCGCGAATCCGTTTCACCGCGAAAGAAAGAGTCGGCTTGTTATTTATTACGCTGCCGCGCGCGAGATACGACGTTTTCACACGCTATTATCCGCGACGATTTTTCCGCAACGAGCCACAGGCAGGATGGACGTGAGATATAATTTATGTCGCTCTCGAGCCATTCGAGGCGATTTTTTCGCAGTTTCCCTTTATCCTAGTAGGAGTACCGGCCGCTGCGGCTGCCGGTCTAAACACTCCGCGACTATATGTATGATAATCGATCTTTAAGAGCTTTAAGATCAGCGCCACGTCGAAACCTGTATTTCTAGACTGGCTATTAAGTTTCTTGTCACCGCGAATGTGGCTCGTGAGAAGACGCTTCGCGTGCGTTGTTGATAACGATAAAATCTCTCTTTCAAATATCAAACCCGAGATTTCATTTATTCCTTACGCACAAATTGCTCAAATTTTTCTTCACGGAAATTCAATCGGTTGTAATTGACGACGATGCGTACGTCGATTAAATTTATTAATTATTGCCGTGATAATTATTTATTATTACTCGATATTGAGCTGTGCTACTCGGTTTATCGCCAAATTTCTCCGCAAGCATCAAATTGGTCGAATTTGATTCTTGAACCGTCCATTCGATATGTATATACGATTATATATATATGCAAATATATACAAATATACCAATTGTTGACTAAACCTTAAAATTTGGTAAAATAGCGTTCTCGTTATTTTAGGTCGGATGTAATTTGTGTAGTTTGCCCCTTTTTAACCCGTAACCACGATTTTTCGAAACTGTTTACCTGTTTTGTTAAAAATTTATAATTTACATTTTTAAACATTTCTAACCAGTTGTTATGCAACGATAACTTTATGTTATGATATTGACAGAAAAACTAACGATTTATTTGTTGTATAATCGAAAGCTTCTTTATCATTAACCACATTAAAACAGCAATATCATAAAGATAGCTCAGATACTGATAACTTTGCTATAGGCTCTAATGTGCAAACATGAAAAATGCTTCTTATACTAGGCTTTTACAAAGCGTCGAACACGACGCTAATAATTTATAATATTTAAATTTCATACAGGGAAATTTAATATCTCATCTGTTTCATCTTTTATATAACACCAGGATGTGCTATATTACACGAGGCGATTTGTGCAAAATTTTGCCGGCGGCAAAAGTTCGATTTTTAATTTACTTAATTTTATAGCAATTTAAATGTACGAATATATTTTACAAAACCATTGTACTTGCATATAATAATATTTAAGTCAGAGGTTTCGAAAAGTTTGATAAGATTTCCGATATTTGTAGTCAAGTTGCGAATATGCGCGCAAATATTTCACAAATCTTGCCGTCGGATACCGGACGCTGATATCGCTGGTAACCGCTGGTAAATTCGACAATCTTGACGTTTAAAACTCGGCATCATATGTATATACAATGATATTTGTTATACGTTTATAATTTTCTTTTTATAATGCTTGTGATGAATAAATTCATCAATATAAAAAAGAAAACTTTTCTGATATTTACAATTTAATAGAAAATAAAACTAGCGCGTATTGAAAATTTAATTGCAATTTTGCAACCCGCAATAAATGTCGATATATTATTACAACAAATAGAAAAACTATCAAGTTAACATACATGAGGAAGGAAGAAGAAGGAAGGAGAATTTTATAGACTTGTACGTAAGATATTTTTATTCTTTTCTACTCGACGGACTTTTCGCGCTGAAATCTTCTATATCGTAATATTGATCTTGTTACACAGTCATTTATTGTATAAAAACAAATAAATATTAAAATAATAGATACAAAAGTTTGCGAAAGTTTCGACTCTATTTTTGGGTCATCTTTAGCGCAAATATAAAAACAAAGAAATAACAAAGGCTTTACATAATCGGAGTCAATTATATTAAAAGTGTTCCGTCTAAAATTACACTAAATTTAAAAGATTCGGTGTCTCATTATTCCTATTTTGACGATGCCTGTAATAAAATCAGTTCAAAATTTATCAATGAATAAAATATATTATTATCAAAAAAGCAAATTTAAATAATTAAAATAAATAACATAAACTAAAGGTAGAATTAAATTTAAAAGGTTAACTTTCCATTGAAACCAAAAACAAATTGAAATAATTTAAATAAATCACATAAACTAAATGTAGAATTAGAAATGTAAAATTAAAAATTAAAAGGTTAAGAGGTTAAACTATATAAAAAGAAAATGCAAGAAAATTTTTCACTTCTAGGAATCGAAAAACTCGTTCTACATCGTGTTACACATAGAATAATTTAAAAAGTGTATAATATTTTTTATAAATTGATGTCGAAAAAGATTAAAAGAGAGAGAAAAAGTTTATAAATTTACATACTTTTGCCACATGAGATATTCTTATCCTTTTGCTAATAACTCGTCGGATTTTTCATTGAAACCTCCTACACATCGCATATATTACATACATAAAGTAATTTAAGAATCGCACAATATTTTTATAAATTGATATCGGAAATAAGATTAAATATATCCCGTACCGTCTTTTTTCATCGCATGGCTAGTAATAGGTTCTCATGTATCTAATGCTCTTTAGATAGCGCGAAAGACAATATAGGGAAGATGAAAGAATGAGGCCGCGTCGAGAGTCGCTCAGCATGAGCAAGAGAAAAAAAGATATTGAAGAACGATAACTCTTAATTCCACGCGCTGTCGGCAGTCCTGTTGAATTGGGCATCACTAGTCCAAGTTTGTACAAAGGAACGAGAGACATCTCCCTTCGATGTAAAACCATTAAAAGATTAACGATAGCTTTCCGCACAAATGGACCGCGTCCAATTCGCAAAAACCTTCGCGCGTTTCTTTTTTGCACAAAAATAAATGTAACTCATCGCGTGCGTAAGCGAGAGAAACTCTTTTCTTTTTCACTTACGCACGAGAATGGGGGATCGAAGCGCAGCTTTGCATAAGTCATTGTTTAGAGTGTCGTACGGTAATGTGTATAGTAAATTGCATGTACACGCCTGACATTTCGTTAGTATTGTATGGATTCGTAAGACAGGAAATCGTACATCATATACGAACCTACAGTGGGCGGATAAAAGGGAACGAGTCACCTTCTCTCTCTCTCCTTTTCTCTTTCTCTCCTCTCTCTTGTTCTCTCTCGACTCATTGACGTCTTTTTAATAATGCTAGCTTGAGCAGCTTATGTGATCTTTGCCTTATTTCTCTCTCAAAGTTGCGCGTAAAAGTCTTTACGTGTAAACGATATCTGCACGCATCAATTTTTATAATACATTGTTACATCCAATCATAAAGTTCTTTGCAACATCGATTGGTACTATAAACACAACTGTTCTCTGTAATTTAATGAATATTTTCCGCAAAGATATTTTCAAAATTTGTAAAATATTAGACACAAATTTATGGCGACAAATAATGTCGTATGCATATGTGTTACATACACATTATCAATATTATATTAAATATCTATATATCGATTGATATTTTTAATATTTAAAAAAAACCAATAATAAAACAACATATTTCTTAACGATGGATGTACAAGAGAAAAGAAATAGTTATCCAATTTTATATAAATATTAAAAAATTCTAATAAAAAATTAAATAGGGGTTGCTAGTTTCATTCCCTTATAACAATACGGGAAGCTGAAAAAAATATTAATAAATAACCTTTTTACTAGCAGTAAATATCCATCCAATTTCATTTCTTTAACTTGTTCCAAATTTGAGAAAAAAATAAAAACCTAATTTTTACTCCCATTTTTGGAAGATATATGTTTATATGAAAAACTCCTCTTAATTTTCGACAGAGAATCATCTCCTTTTTCGCACTTATTAAGAAACACCCTGTATAATTAAATAATTGCTTTTTGTATAGATATATATGTATAAAAATAAATAAGTAATTCTTGGAAAAGAGTTTGTGCGCTTTGCCTTTTCCTATTGTCACGATATCGCATTAAAAATAAATTTCTTATATTTTTTGTGTCAATTACAATTGCTAAAACTGCTGCGAAAATAAATCTCCTTTTTCTTATTACCGATAATTTGAGAACTTCTTTTTAAGAAATATATTTAAAAATAACCTTTGAACAGGGAGAAGGGGAGGGGAGGGAAAGGGAGAGAAAGGAATATATAAAACTAAAATTATACGTGCAATCTGAGATAATTTGCCGGAAAGAAACATTTATAATGGCATAATCTTACACTATTATCAAATTAGCTACATTCAGCTTAAAATAAAATAATCGCTAGGTATTGTTTCGTTATACTTACGTCGCGTGACAAGGCACGACCATATGCCGAAACATCGTTAGAACCTTATCGTATACGTCAAAGCTGACGTATATCCACTCTGACAATCGATCGTAAAATACTGTAAAATTTTTATCATAAATCAAATTATGTACATAAAATATAACAAGTGCAAACGTCGATATCGTAACGAGCGCGTTTATCAGGACTAACCGATCAGAGTGAAAAAAGTCGATTAAAATCGCTTTTACATTTTATATAATACAAAGTAACGTATATCACTCGTCAATAATATTTCATTCTTGCAACTATCAACAGTGAAGGATCGATTAGAGCAAAACATTTTATGGCATGTCGCGCAATGCATGGACAAGATCGAAGAAAAGATTTTACGCCAATGTCCGCATATTATATTTTTATTTCTGGAAATGATTATATTATTATTTTTATTTATTATTAGAAAGATTTTTTAGATAATATGTTAAACAAAAATTAAATTAAATTTTGATTTAATTTTTGTTTATTCATTTGAGCCGAATTCCTAATTATTAAAGATAATATGTTGTTTTTTATTTATTCGATTTCGATAAATGTGAAAAACGCGATAAATAAAAACGTAACAACATGATTGACGTATAACTTGAACAATCGG